GAAGAGATGACACAGTTCGTTTTAATGGCTTATCTATAACAGATTGTAATAATTATGTCAAACGTCGATTATCACGTCGCTATCCAAACATTTATAAATTATCTAATTCAACCATACGTCGTTTATTCATGCCGCCAAAAAAAAATGTGAGAAGTCAAAAGTTTTACAAATCAATTATTCCAGCGAAAATTCCACAAAAACAAAATTCCAAATGCCAACATCATCCAGATTTTCATATCACATGTGCCCAAGTCAATTACGTACAAGAATTAGCCAGTTTATATAACGATGAATGTATTTCATTATCCTGCGATAACAAGGCCAAAATTCCACTTGGAATTCCAGTAGTCAGTCGTCATGTTAGATCAAGAAAATTCCTTTTGCTCAATCAATCCCCGAATTTACCAGATCATGATTTTCCAAAAGCAGGTGTTAAAATCACTCCAGCCGGCTATGTTCGTTTATGGCACCATCGTCGTTCGTCTAGTGCCAATTCAAATCCAACACCAGCATCGTTATTACGGATGAAAAGATCCAAATCATGTGAATCAACTTTGTTCAAACTAAATAGAGAAATTAAACAGGTAAACAGAAGTTATTTTTTCTCAATATACACTGCAGGATAAAGATCAAAAAGCAAAACCGCCTCTATTAAGCTGATTAGTAGTGTAGGCAAAAACAATGAAAAACTGAATATAATGATCGATCAGTCAAGATGATATTTATTCTAAAACATAAATATTCACTTTTCTTCACGGCACTACGATATGCGGAATAATGGAACAGTTCTGAAGTTAATAGCCGCGAATTTTGAAAAGAGATATTGTATGGCTAATGACTTTAATTTTTTCTTTAGACAGTCGATAAACGAAATCTTAAACATGTACAATGGAATAGGTCGGGACAAATGTTCCTCCGCCCTTTTGGTTCAACATCAGAAAAGCTACAAGTCAAGTACATATTAATAATCTACAACAAATAGCCAAAATAACTGGTTTTTACATCGTAGCGTGTTAACAATTATATCAGACAATGGTCCTGATTCGAAAACAGACTACATGGCAAATATATACAATTTCGGAAGATTCTGGGAAGAAAACAAACTAGATGTATTAATCTGGGTTAGTTACGCACCAGGCAACAGCAGATATAATCCAATTGAAAGAATGTTTTCACATTTAACAGATCTAATTGCAAACGTAACAATTGATCTTGATCCAACATTTTCAACAATTAATCACCAATTGGATTCAGCATTAGTTGATTTAAATAAATATTGGCATAATAAAAAGTATGATAATTTTAAAACTGATTGTAGACCGGTATTTTCTGTTAATGAAAATTCGTTTGATGGTCATCAAGAACTAAAAGATAAATTAATGAAAAGCTCTGTTAAACACGTAATGGACCAGGACAATGACAATGTTCGATTTAATCTTCGATTATACCTTCGTCATTGTGTTAGATCGTCGTATTATGTTTCATTCACCAAATGTACAGATTCAACATGCATTCATTGTACACGACATCCGGTGAGAGCAACCAAAACAGTTAAACTTCTCCGATCAGGCGGAGATTACTTACCGTGGCCACAAATGACGTTTAGCAAATACCATTATGATACATTCTTACAACAAACATATGCAATACTTGCTGGTGAAAAAAATATTGTACCAGATCAGCAATTACCATCAGACCGAACGAAACGATGTTCAGAATGTAAATTACCATATATCTTTTCGTCCAAAGCTGATGAAGAACGACATATGGTGTGGGTACATTGGTCTAATGTATTACCTAATAAAAAACGAAAACATTCACCGACTCCGAAATCAAAGTCTGTATCTAAATCAAAACAACGAATTACTAGAAAACGTGAGCTTTCTCCTGAATACTAGCAAGAAGTTATCTAACATTCGAATGATGTTAATGTTTTACCTTTTAAACATGTGTATATAAATAAAATAAAGATCGATATATATCGATCTTTTCGTATATATGAAGGTTCAAATAGTCCGGCAGTAGAATGTATATATTACGAATTCTTTTGATTTAAATGTGTGATTAATAAATGAATAATACTTTCAAAGAGAGCGGTTAATTACCTATGAAGAAATAAAAACAAAATAAAGTGGCTCAACTTTGCACGAAAATAGTAGCACAAAATGAATAAGTTAGATTTTCTGCTTTTCTGTTTTTAGAAAAAAATAAGAGAAGAACGAATTCTATATTTTCATCATATGTTCATCTTTTATGTATGCAACAAAGACAACAAACTTATTTCATATTCTGCCAACTTTGCCAACTAAAATTGCACTAATTAGAGAAGATTCATTCCCCTTTTTTATACTAGTTTCAAGGGCACGAGTTGTACACGATACTGATCTTTTTTTTTGGAAAACGAACCCTTTTAGTTTTTGAGAAATATAACTGTGAATATCGTTGATTATCGTCTAAAAAAGCATGTTTTCCTTACGCGACTTGCATACAGTTCTTATCTCAAAAACTTGCTTGCTCAAACGATACCCACAATATTCACAGACATATTTCCCCAAAACTAAAAAGAGTCCTTTTCTAAAAAATATATCAGTATCATGTACAGCTGGTGTACTTTAAACTAGTACAAATAAAGGGGATTTGATCTTTTCTTATCAGGATAATCCCAGTTAGCAAAGTCGGTACAATACAAAATAAGTTTAAAGTGAGCACTCCCTCTTTGAATATATAAAAGATGAACATTTGATGAAAATAAAAAAATTTGCTCCTTTTGGATTTTATTCTTTCAACAGAAAAACAGAAAAATGCCTGCTCTTATAATGATGTCTATTAAAAGAAATAGCATACATTGGAAGTATATATAGAGTAAAGTGTCTAATTGGAACCGCAACCAGATTTGTCTAACTTGTGACTTCAGTATCTGAGTGAGTTTTGAAGCGATTTTCACCGAATTTGGGGGCTTTTTGTAGTTGAAAGTCTTGGCTATTTAACGATCTAAAAATTATTATGAAATTCCCATCGGAGCCGGATCGGAGGGAGATTTACTATGGAGAGGGTCGTTTTGGTTCCAATTAGGCTCTGTGCCAAACGGGAACCGTACAGCGAAATGTGTGTCTAATTGGAACCGTCCCGTTGAAATTACACGGCTTTGCAACGTTTTAGTAAATTCTATTTTTTACAACATTTTGTAAGATAAACTAAGAAGTTTTTATATGATCATAATCCGGAGAATGAGCCCCGTCGAATGCCACTATTTCGAGATTTGTAGGACCAA